CTTAAAAAAGTTATCAGATATTGATAATTGTTTGACCTTGGAATTACCTTGAGAAACGTTATCAAGGTCGACATAAAAATCTTAAATAGAAACTCTAATTTTTTATTACACCGTCTTTTTCCACCAATTAATTTGAACAACTTTTGTCTGAAACCTTTTTTTTATTTGCCTAATATTTTTTCAGATATTTAAAGATAACTTGGTAACTTTTTCAATACTTAATTTACGATATCTCGCTAACTGTTTGTCGGGATAAAAAAATAGTACTAGACTTTTCTATTCTATTTGATCTTAAGAATATATTGGTACAATAATGCTTTATTTTTTGTTAATTTATCGATCTTTCGAAATTTCAAAATCATCAAATTAACAAAAGTCAAGGCGCTATTGTAACAATATATTCTTGAAACCAAATAGAATAGAAAAGTCTAGTACCATTTTTTTATCCCGACAAATAGTTAGCGAGATATCGTAAGTTAAATATTAAAGAAGTTACCAAGTAATCCTTAAATATCTCAAAAGATATTAGGCAAATAAAAAAACGTTTCAGACAAAAGTTGTTCAAAGTAATCGGTGTAAAAAGACGGTGTAATAAAAAATTAGAGTTTCCATTTAAGATTTTTATATCGACCTTGATAACGTTTCTCAAGGTAATTTCAAGGTCAAACAATTATCAATATCTGATAGCTTTTTCAAAGCCCTACAACTTTCGTTTGAAACATTGTTTTAAACAATCATTATTTTTTTAAATAATTAGCCGTTCCGGAACTTTTGGCAGACCCTGTATATATATATAAATATATATGAGAGAGAGAATGTGTGTGTGTGTATGCGTGTGCGTGTGCGTGCGCATGTACGTGTACGTGTGCGTGTGCGTATGCGTGTGCGTGGGCGTGCGTGCGTGCGTGCGTATGAGTGTGTGTGCGTGCGTGCGAACGCGCGCGTTTGTAAGCGTGCGCGTATATACATGTATGCATGTATGATACGTGCGCGCATGTGTATGTGTGTATGTGTGCATATGTGCGTGTGCACGCGCGCGTGTATGTGTGTGTGTAGTGAACAGTAGCGAGAAATAGAAGGGAGGTTCGAGAGAGAAACAGAGAACATAAATTGCAAATATTATAAAGCCACACATTCTACAAAGTCAATCGCGGTAATTCTTATAAATAGCGGGCAGAATAATAAAAAAAATAAAAACAGGTATTAAGACTAATCATGTAGCGAAAATAGTAAAGAGAATTTTCTGTTGCTAAATAATAGTGAAAATAAGATAAACATTTGTATTCATCGAAATATTTCCTTACACGTAGGATGCAAATGCGAAGTCGCTTTAATTTTTTTTATATGCTATTGCTAGCGAGTATCATTGGGCTTTCGGTCGATCAAACTCATTTACTCACTAAATAACATTATTAATATTACATAAAACATAAAACACGTTCGTTTCTTGTTACAAGATTAGTCCATAAAACACAATCGACCTTGCGATAAATACTTTATGAAAAGTCATATTATGTTATCGAATTATTCCCACATAATGGGAATTTGTAGAAACAAAAAGGATGCTTCAAAGAAACAAAAATGCGAAGTAACGCATAATTTTATACAACATTCCCTTTATATGAGTATGCCGCAAAATACGATGATGTTCGTACTTATAAAAAAAATCTCAACGATAGGATCTCTCGAATTGTCCTCATTTTAGACGACACTTGCATGCTGATAAAGATGTTAAGTTTACTTTCGTAACATATGATCGTTAATGAACAAATATTGATATAATTTAGTGCCTTCGCTGCTATTTATTCTAAGAATAAATACTTTGGTGCAATTAGTATTGTTTGTTTAAGAAATTGATTTCTCCTAATACCATCCTATGAGAAAGTTACTATTCGTGCGAAGTTTACTTGGATATTATGGAAGTGTTACGTCCCAAATCTAAATGCTATTATTTCGCGAAATATTTGAAAATTATGAAACAACCAACATTAACTTACCAATTATTGCTCGCAATGCTATAATATTATTACACTATAACATGTTATATTTATAGCTTTTTTAGAGATAATGAATTTATACAATAATCCAAAATATGATATCGTAATGAATCTATATTATAAGAGGACAAAAGGAATAATAATAGTTTATTATTTTATTATTTGGTACTCTTCATAACTTATACATATTTTACAAAACGGACTCACATGAGCAATGGTAAATAATCAGATTAATTTAATTAACAAATATTATAATCATAATGTAGTTTTACGTAAACAATTATGTTTAATCTGTAGACGTAATGAAATACGGAAGAGGTAAGAGAAAATGAGAATATATTTACATTTGTAAAAATACAAAATCTTTTGCGACAAATCTTTTTGGATTATCTTCCTCTATTCTTTTTTTTTCGAGAGTCACGAACTTCCTGAGTTCAGGATAGTAGGACACATTTTTTTGCGTCCTATTCATACGACTACAAATCTGATATTTTTGGCTTCCATAGTATAAAGCAATATTTAAATTGGTTCTCGAATTGGAGTATCACATTTACACACATACACATGTGCGCATATGCATTCACGTACGTATGACGCAGGTACACACTTGTACACACACACGCATGCGCGTACACGTGCGCACATAACTTAAAAATGTTAATATTCGAAAAAAGGGTTTGTCTTTTATATATATGTTTTTGAGGATAATTAAATATATGTTGAGTGATTAGTTGATGAAGAAAAGCTTTCTAGTTTTTTAGAGAATAAAGAAAAAGAAGTGAAACGAACAGATATTGGATATTTTTAATCGGAAGTATGAGTTGTCACATTTAGATTATTGGAATACTTGTAAATCTTTTAGGCTTCCGCTATATTTCCGGGAAAATTAAGTATTGGTTTTGCTTAAAGGTGTAGATTTTGATAAAATAAGATTGTGTCCTATATTTATGTGATATTTTGCTAATGCATATTGTATTAAATGTTTCAATCTCATCGTAAATTGATATTTTTTATATGTGTGATATAACTCCCCTCACCCTCCATCTTTCCACTTTCTTATATTAAATTATTTATTAAATTTTAGCACATATGCATAAACTCCTGGTACGTTTAAGATATATCTTGTCATTTGGGTTATTGAGCAACTATTATATTTTTATTACAGGTTTGTGTATGGATTTTATGTTATGCTTCGTTAAAATCCTACCGATTTTATTTCCTTGTATATATGAAGGGAAGAAAGTTGATATTTTTTCCTGTACTTTGGTTTATTCTAAAGGGATAATTTTCAAGCGTTATTTTGCTTTGATGATTTTTAATTATTTTATATATCTGCCTTGTCTATTTGTTGTGTCTTCATTTTGTTAGAATCTTAGTATTAGGCTGTTGGGAAAATATCAGTTCGTTTCAAATTTTATCTACTCCGTGTTGCTATGTTATCAGTGAGAGCGAGGAAGCCCCAAACGATTTTATGTTTGTCAACAAATCTTCTCGGATCTGTGAGTCTGCCAAGAGGACCTCGCAGGCTTTTCTAAGTGCAACCATTTCGGTAGAAATCAAGGAGGAAGATGAGGAACCAGAAGATCCACTTTCGCTTTTTGATAATAAAAGCTGGATTTTGCGCAACAATATTAGCCGCAAGAAGTCGTGGGGAACCAGCGGCGTGTCTGCGCAATCTGTGGCCAAGCCAAAGCTTCACCCAAAGAGGGTTCTTCTAAGCATCTGGTGGGATTTTAAGGGCGTATTGTATTAGGTCAATCGGAAAGTTCCGTCCGTTTTCTTGCAAAACGTATGGCTTTGTTTAAGAAACAAAATGAAAAAGTACATCAATCAAAGTATTGTCCATCGTTAGCGATGACTTTTTCCCATCTTTCGGTCAGCAAGCGAATTCCGCGGCGAAAGAATGACTCATCTTTGGAGGCTATCCAGTCAGAGACCCATTTCTCAACGTCTTCATAAGAATTGAAGCATTCGTCAGCAAGTGCGTGTGCCATCGACCGAAACAAGTGGTAGTCGGAAGGGGCACAGTCTGGTGAATAAGCCGCATGCGGTAACACTTCCCAGCGAAGTGCTTCTTGACAGTTTCCTTGACAGATTTTGTGACGTGAGGCCGAGCGTTGTCATGAAGCAAAATCACTTTATGCTGTCTCGTTTCATATTCTCGTCGTTTTTCGTGCAATGCTCGGCTCAAACGGATCACATGTTTCATTCTTAATTCTTAAGTTTGAATCCGTCATTTCTCAATATTTTATAAGAATTTTAAGCTGAAATTTAGATTCTATGATTCCTAAAACATCCAAATACTATTTCTCAGCTCAACATTTGAATAATATATTTCTAACTGTGATTTCAATTCTGCAATCTTGAATCCGCCATTTTGAACTTCACTGGTTCAAAATTTGGATCTCTAATTCATAACAAGCAACCTCCAAAATCTTAAAGTCCGAATTTCAAGCTCAATCTACTTTAACAGAGAATTTTTGATCCGCCATCTTGAATCCTCCATCTTGGATTCAACATTTTTTAATTTTGACCTCGGATTCGTGATCAGCGATCCAAAAAACCATTGTATACCAAATTTTATAACCGATAAATAGAAAAATGTATGCTTCAAAAAGTTAATTAAATAATCTACGAAACGACAGACTCTGCGCGCAATTTGCCTCCAATCTACCGTCAGGATCTGTCGGCAGGTTCTATGTGCATTCTGCCATCAATCTGCCATAAGCATCTGTCGACAGGCTTTGTGAGCATTCTGCATTACTTTGTCAACAAGCCCTACACACATCCTGCCGTCAATCTGCCGTCAGAGTCTGTTAGACAGATTCTGCGTATAATCTGTTGTTATTTTGTCGACAGACTCTGCTAATAGACTTCGCGCAAAATCTGTTTTAGCTAGTTTAGCTATCTGGGTTATTTTTAACTGCAGAATTTATATTCCGAAATATTTTTCCGGGAAATATATGCTATATTCTTTCTAAATATATATATTGTATTTCTTCTAAAATATTAATTTACACTCTTAATAATATATTAACAGAGCTTGCATTATTTTTTACTACAGAATAGCGCGCTCAAGGAATAAGTAAATCTGTTATTAGTTTTGCTTCCTGTATTTCGAGTGTATTTTTCTTGTCGCGGATTAACTCTAATTCATGGATTAGAGCCATTGCAGCCTCGATGCAATTATCAATCTCCTCCACGACCATCATGTTCGGAAATTCGTCTTGTAAAAGATGCAATATTATATAGAGCTGGTTGACGGATCTGTAAATATATATAGTATTGATAATGCACATCCACTAAGCTTCATCGGCATATATTTTGCACATAAATACAAATGCAAGAAAACTAACAAGGAGATAGCAAGACATATAAAATCGATAATTGAATGAGTCATATTTCATTCGAATGGGGGGGGGGGGGTTGAGTATAAAAACCTTAAAAGGGTTTGCGTGTACGAGCTGTCGCTTGCGAGAAATTTGTAATTAAAGAAACAGCTATACATTAAGTATAATAACTTGGAATCAATAAGCGTGAAGCGCGGTAACCGCGAAGGTTAAGGCGCGCGCTAGTATCTTGTCGTCTACGTCCGAGAAGTGGTTCGAGTCCACATAGTGCCAACTTTTTTTTTATAATATTATGTATTACTATATTTTATATTTCTATATAACATTTTTAATATTTTTATTATTTTTTATAGAACAAAAATATAATACATACATACAGGATGGACAAAATAATGTGAACACCATACTAAATATTACATATTTGTTTATGTTGGGCCCCCTGCCAAGGTATGAATGATGCGGCGCGTATATGTGGCGCACTTTACGTAGTAACCGTTCTAGTTTATATTTCAGTATACTACTCGCTTTGTTCTGCGACGGTGTTAACAATCAGACGGTGAAATGGGCGACCTATCAGGACTTCGAAAGAGGACAAATCGTGGGTGCTCGGTTAGCAGGAGCATCTGTGACGAAAACGGCTGAACTGTTTAACGTTTCACGAGCGACAGTATCCACTGTGATGACAGCCTACACAAAACATGGCAAAACAAAACATCTGCGAAGAGAAGGAGCGCAAAACAACGTTAACAGACAGCCGAATATTAAAAAGGATTGTGGCCAAGCCAAGTAACATAGAACTACCGCAGCAAAGGTGACAGCAGGACTCAACAGTCACCTGAACAATCCTGTTTCGACAAAAACAGTGTGGCGAGAGTCGCACTTCACAAAAGTAACATTTATGGCAGGGCTGCCATTTCAAAACCTCTTATAATGGATGCCAATGCAAAGCTGCGAAAGAAGTGGTGCCACGGTCATAAAACTTGGACGATTGATGATTGGAAGAATGTAATATGGTCTGATAAATCATCGTTTACTTTGTTCCCTACAAACAGCCGGGTTTATGTATAGAGAACCCCCAAAGAAGCCTACGATCCAGACTGCTTACTACCCGCAGTCAAGTACGGGGGCGGCTGTGATGATTTGGCCGGCTATATCATGGTATTCCGCTGATCCGATTATTACCCTCAATGGCCGTATTACTGCGAATGAATATCTAAACATCCTCAATGATGAAGTTCTTACTATGACCTGTAAGTCCTACTATGATTGTTGCCAAACACTGCCATATTCTAAGACGATAATGCGCCCATACACACGGCCAAAAAAGTTCAGTCTTGGTTCGAGGAACATCGGAATATTATCAAGCATCTGCCCTGGCCAGCACAATCGCCAGATCTCAACATCATTGAGCCGCTATGGGGAGTTTTGGAGCAGAGAGTGAGGAGCAGATTTCCACCTCCATCATCATTGAGGCAATTGGCGGAGATGGTGGAGTTGGTGGAAGAGTGGGACAACATTCCGTTGGATACTACCCGTACACTCTACGAATCTATTCCACGACGAATTACAGCTGTCTTAAAAGCAAACGGTGGCCCTACACATTATTAATTAACAAATATTGTATATTAGTCAGGTGTTCACATTATTTTGTCCACCCCCTGTATATAATAAGACAGATATTATTGTATATGTGTCCATTATATTTTTGTCCTATAAAAAATAATAAAAATATTAAAAATATTATAGAAATATTATAAAATATAGTAGTACATAATATTATAAAAAACGAAGAAAGTTGACACTATGAGGACTCGAGCCACTCCTCGGACGAAGACGACAAGATACTCGCGCGTGCCTTATTCTCCGCGGCTACCGCGCTTCACGCTTAGTGGTTCCCATTTATTATACTTAACTTGTAGCTGTTTTTTTAATTGCAAATTTCTCGCAAACGGAGGCCCATGCACACAAACCCTTTTAAGGTTTTTATGTACTCAACCCTCCCATTCGAATGACATATGACTTATTCAATTATCGATTTTATGTCTTGCCATCTCCTTGTAAGAAGTTTGGCACGATAAAAAAAGAATAACATTATTCATCAGCGATTGTGTACCTGGCAAAAATCTTTAATCTCGCTTTATCGAAATCGATCGATGATACTTCGATTAAAGAGTGAGTTAGAGAGCCATGC